ATTAAATGTAAATGTCCTAAAAAACTCCAATTAGAAGTCATATTTTGTTAGAAGGATGGAAAAACATATACTTTGCTAACACTAATCAAAAGATGTAAAACTTCTACACTGAAAACTAAAAATAGCAATACTAAGATAAATTTTAAAAGACCTAAATAAGAGTAAAGATATACAGTGTTCATAGGTCAGAAAATTCAATATTATTAAGATGTCAATTTTTCTCATTTCATCTATAGATTCAATGCATTCTCACTCAAAATCACAGCCAGCTTTTTTGATAGAAATTAACAAAGCAGTTATAGAACTCATATGGAAATACAAAGAACACAGAATAGCCAAAAAAGCTTTGAAAATGAACAGAGCTAGAGAACCAATATTATCTGATTTTAAGATATCATAAAGCTATAGTAATCAAGATGGTGTGGTACTGACATAAAGACAGACAAATAGATAACTGGAACAGAACAGAGTCTAGAAACAGACTTACACATAAATAATAGACTGATTTTTAACAAAGGTTAAAAGAGCATCAACAAATGATGCGAGAGCAGGTGGGTTCCAATATGCAAATACATGGATTTTCAATCTATAACTCCTATTCTATGCAAAAAGTAATTAAAAATGGATAACAGACTTAAAACTGTGAAACATATAGAAGAAAATAGACAAAACAAAAAACAAAAAAACAACAAAACCATAAATAAGAAACCCTGTGACCCTGGGTTAGGCAAATATATTTTAGATACAACACCAAAACCAAACTTGATAAAAACAACTCTTCAAAAGACATTGTTAATGGGCCGGCCCGTGGCTCACTCGGTAGAGTGTGGTGCTGATAACACCAAGGCCATGGGTTCGGATCCCATATAGGGATGGCCGGTTCGCTCACTGGGTGAGTGTGGTGCTGACAACACCAAGTCAAGGGTTAAGATCCCCTTACCAGTCATCTTTAAAAAAAAAAAAAAAAAAAAAAAAAAGACATTGTTAAGAGATGGAAAAACAAGCCACAGTGCAAGAGAATATATTTGCGAATCATGTATCTGATAAAGGACTGTGTCTAGAATATACAAATTATGCTCAAAACTCAATAATAAGATGACAATCTGATAAAATGGACAAAAAATGTGAACAAACACTTCTCCCAAGAAGATAAACAAAGGGCAAAGAAGTTCAAATGAAAAGATGCTCAACATCATTAATCATTAGGAAAATATAAATTAAAATCACAATGAGATTATCACTACACATCTATCAGAGTGGATACAATTTTAAAAACTGCCCATATCAAGGCAAGGATGTAGAGGAACTGGAACTTTCATACACTACTGTAATGTAGTGTATGAAATGTAAAATGGTACCAACATTTTGGAAAACAGTTTGGCAGTTTCTTCAGATGTTGAACAGACACCTACCATATGATCCAGCTATTCCACTCCTAGGTATTTACACAGGAGAAAAGAAAGCATACGTTCATACAAAGACTTGTATACGAATGCTCATATAAGCTTTATTTGGCCAAAACTGGAAATAACCTAAATGCCCATCAACAAGTGAATGGATAAACAAACTGTGGTACATCCATACAACGGAGTTTTACTCAGCAGTAAAAAGAATGAACTATGAATGAATCTTGAAATAATTATGCAGGGTGAAAGAAGACAGATCAAAAAAAGATTACATACATACTGTATAATTCCTTTCATGTAAAAGTAAGCAAATGCAAACTAATCTATAGTAACTGAAAGCAAATCAGTGGTTGCTTGGGGACTGGGATGGGGAGGGATGGGACAGAGATTTTGAAGGGACACAAGGCAACTTTTGGGGAGATGTATGTGTTCATTATCTTCATTTTGGTGATAGCTTTATGGATATATACATGTGTCTAAAGTTATATTGTATTATAATTTAAATATGTGCAGTTTACTGGATTCAATTTCACCTCAATAAAGCTGCTACAAAAGAAAGCATTTGCTTTAATTTTGAGTATTATTTAGCATTATCATTTTGGCAATTCATTTATGTATAACCTCAGACATAATCTGAATAGCATGTAACTCAACGGTAATTCTAACATTAGTTATTTGATTTTCATCTGTGTATTAGTCTCAAAAACTCCAAGCTGGTTTAAATATTTAACCCGCTCTAAAGAATACAGATCCTGAGAGAATTTCCTTCTCTACTTTTCCAACATCTACCCTGAATAGTCTATTGTTATAATAGCAGTGTAATACTATCATCTTTCAGCTAATTAGTTTATGTAATTATTTTCAATTTAAGCAATATAATTTTTGTGAGAGAGGAAAAAGTAAAATCCATGGACTATTTTACATTAAATATTTTATTTTCCATCTGAAGAAAAAGTTATATACTACAGTCAACATAAATCCTTTAATATAGTTACTGATTCTTTCTCCAAATGTCTTATGAAAAATTTTCAAACATACACTAAAGTACAGAACTGAATAATGAACCTATATGTAAATATTACCCAGCTTCAAGTATTATCAACATTTTGTGATTCTTGTTCTACCTATTGAGCTCTTCCCCTTTTTATCATGGAATATTTTAAAGCAAATTCTGAACAGCATACCATTTTATGTCATAAATATTTTATTTTTAATTTTTATTTTTTCAGCTGGCCAGTACAAGGATCGAACCCTAGAGAAAGATCGAACATTTGGAGAAAGAATCAGTAACCCTATATTAAAGGATTTATGATGACTGTAGTATATAACTTTTTCTTCAGATGGAAAATAAAATATTTAATTTAAAATATTCCATGGATTTAACTTTTTCCTGTCTCACAAAAATTGTTGGTGTTATGTACCACACTCTAACCGAGTTAATTGGCCAGCTCCTAATTTTTTCCCCCGTATTATAAATATTTTATATTTAAGTTTTTCCACAATATAAACCACATCTTATTTTAAAACTGTTTCATACAAAATTAATTATACTTCATTATAAGAACACTTAATTTCTTACATTTCCCCCCAACAATTTATATAGGAGTGTGTGCACATTTAGAAATTTTCATTTCAATTAACTGAAGTGCTCAGGAAGTTTTTTTAAAAAAGTAATATAAAAATACAAATATATATGTCTATACATATTTTAATATTCTATTTAAAAAATATTTTTGGAGGTTATTATAAAATTAAAATCAACACAATGGACCTATATTAGCAAACGGAGGTTCATTTGTTTCTTTAGTTATTCATTTATTAATCTTTTCTTCCTTCCACCCATTGGTGTGCTGGTGTTAGCTTGCAGCAGCTTGTGAGAGCTAACTGGTAAATTTTTAGGAATTTTGTGAGCTGGTTGTTAAACACAACCATTATTAAAAGTTCAATTATTTGAATTTATAATAAAATACATTTTATTAGAAACAAAAGGAACAAATACTCAAAAACTCATTGATTTAAGTTATTTTACTATTATCTCTGCTCTTAAGTTTACGTACATTTATTGTATCTGTATGGTACAAATGTAATGGTGTGCTGCTGAACATCTTTTCTCTACTCTGTGTTCAGTAATGTCATGCAGGTGGCTTGAAGTTAGTCATAATGGGAATATTTATATCATAGATATATGCAAATGCTACAAGTAAGAGCCCTCTCTCACATTCCTCATGGAAAGCTGGTTGTTAACATTTACCAGCATACCACTGTGTCCATCCTGAACATTAACTATGTGCCAGGACTGCAGTAATATGAAATATTTCTGTTATTTTTGAAATTTGAGGATAAAGATCCTCCTAATGTTACAGTGTCTTAATAGAAGACACTGTAAAGATAAAGATGAAAAGTCCTTAAGAAAATAAACAAAGAATACATTGTATATATTAATAGTATTTAATTATGTCTTAAAAATCCTCTTATGACAAGATAAATAACATTAAAAGTTATAAAATATTAACATAAAGAAAACTCGTTATGCTGAAGTTCAGGAAATAAAAGGAACACTAGTGAGGTGGCACCTTTGGTTTTGTTTTATGACAAATTTCAGAAGTATGAAAAAATGTAATTAGATATTGATTTAAAATAAGAAAAAGATTAAAAGTGATATGTAAAACATATACATATTCTTTAAATTACATACCATAAGGCTAAGGAAAATAAGAAATATAAACCTGATGTTTTAAGTGTATACCAAATTAAGTGTGTTTAATAGATAAGTAATTTTTCATCACACGCAGAAGTAAAAAGTAAATCTATTTAAAAATAAAGTATTAGTGAAAAAGTTAAAATGTCACCAAAATTTTCCAAACTTGTTTTGCTAGTTTATATTCTCAGAAATCAAAGCTTTGTCTGTCTAGTCTGCATTTATACTTAGTTTGGCATTTAATCTCCCTTCTTAGCTTTGCCATCCACTGTAAGTTGTTTTATAAGGTCTTAACAATCAGTTTCATAAATTGTGAAATCATTTTGTATTAGTAAACAGCATATTTTAAAACTGCTTAGAAAATAAACAAAAGGGGGCCGGCCCGGTGGCGCACTGCTGCAGTGCGCCGCTTGGGAAGCGTGGCGGCGCTCCCGCCGAGGGTTCGGATCCCACATAC